TGGATAGTATGGACAGAGCTTGAGCAAGCCAACTGGAGTGTCCATGCATGTGTGACAAAGGCTCATCCTGCTGCCAGAGGTAGCCAACAGTGGAAAGAGAATCAAAGTGGCTTGTAGACCAAGGGCTGGGTACCCCCATATGGCTAGCACAGAATTCTAAGGAATCTAATAATTCTAAACTCAAACCTGTCTTCCAGGTTGTTTTGACCTATTATTTGCCAGGATGGTAGGATAAAACTCTTTTTATTTAATAGTTATCTGGATTTATTACTTTTAAGTATTTTGGCTTGTGGTATGTGAGCCTCTATCTATACTTTTGTTCTAGAGTCCATAAACGTTAGGAATGGGCCTATTCTTTGTGGAGACTGATATTAATTAAATGATCATATAGGCACACACACACACACACACACACACACACACACAAATGTAAAATCGAACCATAGCTAAGCACTAAGAAAAATAATACTCTGTTTGGGTCTCTCCTAAAATGCTCTACTTGATCTCCATTCCCAGGGTTCTCATCGCATCTTGGGGTCTCCAGTTTCCCCTGAGCACTGCGAAGCTCTTCTCTTACTCTCCTGGGACCCAAAACACTGACGAAAATATTTCACACTATTCTTGCTCCTTCTGAACGTGGAGCTCTATGGAAGCAAACCCCAGGAAGAATAAGGGAGGCAAGCCAAGGCTGTTAATCTCTTCTATACTCATTTCCTCTTTTCCATCTGGTCCAAAACAGGTGCCCCCATGCCCAGACTGCCATGGTGGATTTCATCCTCATACCCACCTCTAGGTGCTCCACAGCTGACCCTGCCTAGGAAATGCTTTCACCTCTTTGCCAAGATATCCATGTGTCTCACAGCTCTTCTGCTTCCAGCTGCCTAAACTCAGCCAATAACCATTGCTTCTCACTTGGTCTTCAACAGCAACAGAGAAGCCTTCTCTGACTAATTGGGGAAAAGGTAGCACATTCCCCCCACTTGTGTCCCTGAAAAGGCACCCCATACACTAGCCGCTGTTAAGCACACATCTCTTTCTTGTATCCAATATTACTATAATTCACCTGTGACCCATTGTCTGTGTGTTCTTGATTTCTATCAGTCTCTCTGATGTCTGGGTTAGATTGTGAAACTCCTAGAGGGCAGGGCCACATCCGCCCTGTGTCTCCAGACCCTGCTCAGCAGAGCGGCAGGCATAGGTAGGCGCTTGCTTAATAAAGACTTTTGAAGATGGAAACAGAGGAGTGGCACTCTATGCCTAGAGGATTGTGAGTGCACAGGAAGCAATCTACTACCACCACCAGCCCACAGTCACAGCAGTCCTGCCAGGGACTAGCCTGGGAGCTGGGGCACACTGTTCCTTTTAAATGAGGCAGAGGGTGCACTGTCTCGCCTCTGAGATAGTCACAGCAAAACACTGTGACAGCATGGCTCTAGCTGTGTTGACCAATCTGACGCTCAGCATGACCATCAGTTGGGGGTCTATCATTATTATCCTTGTCTTACAAAGGGAGAACCTGAAGCACAGAGGGGCTGTGCCACTTGTCCAGGCCTCAGACTGGGGCCATCTGGTTTCAGAGACCTCAGCTTACCCACCATGGTCCATCAAAGTGAACCAATGCAGCTTCAACCAGAAACAGAGGGTGAAGAGATGCCAACTGGGCTCTTTTCCCACACTTCCATGGATCCTTGACCCCTGTCCAACCTGGATGAATGGCTGAGAGGAGGGGAGTGGCTACTCAGTCAGCTTTCCAGCATGGAGCCAACTTGGCTCTCCAAGACTTTATTCACACACCATCCGTCTGCCTCCTCCTGTCCTCTCCTCTGTTTCTCACACATGCTAAGCTTGTTCACAGTTAGGTCTTTGAACCTGCTATTTCCACCTCCCGGAATGCTTTTCCCCCAGGCCTACTTATCAGGGGGTTCTTCTTATCATGTAGGGGCCAGATGAGATGGCACATTCTTGGGAAGGCTGTCCCTGATCACTCTATCTAATGTAGTTGCATCTTTCTCAAACCCTCTCTTTCCTTCTTGTCTACTCATTATCCTGTTTGACTTTCAACATGGTGCTCAGCACCATCTGAAATCGCTTTATTTATCTACGAGTTGACTGGTCTGTTTCTGCATCTCTACCAGAATGTCAGCTTCTGGAGAGCAGAGATCTCACCTGTTTTGTTCCCTCCTGGATACTCAGTGCCTAGAACAGCATCTGGCATGCAAAAGTGCACAACAAACATTTTTAAAGTAAATGCATGCATGCATGCATGAATGAATGTAAAGACCACGGTGGACACGTGCAAACCTGGAACTAGTTGGACCCTCCAGGTGCCCCTTACAACATACAAGCCCTTGTCTGGAAGAGATCAGATCTTCATTTGGGACAGTCTTTTAGCCCCTGGAGCAGCAGGCAAATGACTAGGAGTTGTTTGGTTTCTTTGTTTGGGCAAAGAAAAGACCATGACATTAAGCCGCTGAGACTGCCGACTGCTCTCCCTTCAGAGCCACATGTGCACGACTGCCGGACAGCTGGCTCCCCGAACAGAAAATCAGATCCTGACATCTCAGCTCTTCACTTTTGTCTTTCTGTCTGTCTCTCTCTTCCTACTCTAGAGGGTTTTCCCCATCTCCTTTGTTGCCCTTCCTCACTGAATCCTGTGAAGAAAATTGAGTAAAAAGAGGGAAAATATGTTCATATCTAACACATGCTTCTCTTATTACTATGATAGCACAATCTCATTAAAATCTCCTGGCTCCTGCACAAATAATAAAACCCCCCAAATATAATCACCATATGCAGGAAGTGCTTGACTTGATGCAGTCTTATGCCGACACGATGCCCCTATTCCTTCCAAATAATAATAGAGCCCATTCCTTTATTGGTGTTAGCTCTTTTATTCAGTCCTTTATTTATGACACACCATAAAAATAATGAACAAGAAAGGAAAACTCCTAACCTCTGCCCAGATCCTCTATCACATGCAGATATTTCACAGTATTCCTAAAGATCCTTTTTTTCTTCCTTTTTTCAACAAAATACTGCTTTTCCATGATCAAAATACCTGCCATTGTATTTTAATCCCTTTCAAGATGTTTTCAGGCTCATTATCTTCTGAATCCTCCCAACACACTTACAAGGAAAAAAAGGAGGACAGTAAAAGGTGCCTCTAAATCACAGAAGTTGGAAAAGGGGCCCAGAGGCGTAGAATGATTTGAAGAGGTTCAAACCGTGAAATACCATCCAGATTGGCCTCCAAGTCCTGCTGTTTTCTAGAGACAAGGGTGTTTTTGCCAGAAGCCACACTCCCAGCAGCCCCTGTGACACACAGACCTAAGCCAACACATATGGGAGAAAACAGCTTAAGAAGTTGGAAGCTAAGCAATTCTTTCTTATGGGAAAGATGAGGCTCCTGATTGGGGCAAAAGGCTGACCAGGAGCATCCTAAAGTGAGGCCTCACTCTTGCTCTCAGCCAAGCCACTCCACCTTGTGCCCACCAGTGGAAGTGGAGAGAAGGGCTGGATGAAGGGCCCTGAGCAGGTGCCCTGGAACTCCTCACCTAACAAGAGTCCTCAACTCTGGACAGGACTTAATTTGGGACTTCAGTAAGCCTAGTCTCAAGAAGGAGGAACCCAACTCTTAGCTCCTCAGAAACATTTATTCACACTGAGATCTATGTGACCTCCTCTCATGATGCCCAGGCTTCTTGGCCCTAGTCATCTTCTGTCCCTGAAGTATGTTGCCCATTCAGAGCAAAGATAAAACAAATGAAAAGTATCAGCTAAGCCTGTCTCTCACAGAGCAAGCCTTCAGCAAGAGCCAGAGCCTCCTCAAGATCACTGGCATGGCATTCTGCTCTGCCCCTTGTTCAGGAAGCACCCAGACATCTTCCCTCTACTTCTGGGAAGCTACTGAAAAAGTGGCTGATGCGACCATGGAACCCCCTTGACCAAGGTGCAATTTAATATTCCTTCTCCAGGATCACGAACTAGATCAGATTTTTTAGATGAGACTTTTCTATCTGGGATTCTGTGGAAAGTGTTGCTATAATTCATGACTCTAGGATAATGTCCACATACTCTCTCCAGCCTCTAGCAGACACTAGATTGGAAGTGGAGCTGGAAGGGCTGGGGTGAGTCTATCTGTGAAAATCTGAATGAACAGGGAAGGGAAGACCTTCAGACTAGTGCATGATTATACTTGGCATCCCTGCCCTGGATGGGGAGGGTTTAAGGGATATTCTAAGTTGAGGTGCTTCAGGCCTGAGAAGGGGAGTAGATATGACAAGCTTCCTTACTTCCTTCTCCATATCCCTTAAGCTCACCCTCAACCTGCTTACCTATTTGCTTTCAACTTAGGAAAAAAAAAACTTGAGTCAGCCAAGAAGTGTCTCAGCAAACTAGAGAGTTTTCTTGGGACTAGAATCTCTCCCCATTTCTTCCTCACTGACTAAAATATACTGCTGAGGATGTCAGTGTCATTTGGGAGGGGGTAGTTCAAAGTGAAAGTATAGGGTCAGGCTTGTGTGTCAGTCTATGAGAATAGGGAAAGAGGAGATGATCTCTGCATATTTCCCTCCAAAGAGGGAAGAAGTTTGAATCTAGGACTGAAGATGGGCCGAGGGAAATGCCAGTAACAACAAATCATATGAAAAGATATCTTGGCTTCAAGCATGAATGTACCACCAATTTCCTTCATTTTATCACTTCTGACTTCTGAATCTTCTATTCTGAAGATGCTTATAGAGTTTTTGGATGGAATTGAAGACACTAACATTGGAGGAAAATGCAAAAACTAGGGTACAACTGAGTAACCAAACAGGCTCTACCAGGTACCAGACACCTTTTGGGCAAACTTAACCACAAGACATCACTGAGGAGCCCTTAAAACATATATTTCTTAAACTAAAGACAGCACAATGGCTCCCCAGGGCAAGCAGGTGAGTAGTAATCTGCAAGATCTGGAGACACCATCAGGCAGCAGGAAAAGGGAAAAAGAGTCTCACCTGTTCTGGCCCCTGGAAGCAGATGCGGCAGAGTGGGGTCCTCATGCCACTGTCCAAGCTGCTTCCCAGTGAGTAGCAATCCTCAGCCTTCCCCTTACAGAAGTCATCTGAGGAGGCACTGCTGAGCAGCGACGTGGGTGGCTCTGTGGCTGGGCCACTCCAGTCATCTTCCACAGAAGAAGGTGGCAAAGGTGGTGGAGGTGGCAGAGGAGTGGTCTCCCTGCCCACCCCTTCTCGAGGACCCCTCCAGCCTGCCCACCCCCCGGCACCCAGAGCCGGAAGGGTGTTGTTGTTGGCCGCCAAACTGGGGGCCTGGGGGTCGCCGTGCATGGGCAGGGGCGCTGGAGGGGGGCGCCGCAGCAGGAAAACCTTCAGGTCATTGAAGAGCATGCGGCAGCGGCACTTGAGGAGACCCTGGTGGCGCAACATCTGGGGAGCCGGGGCCCACGATCCACAGCGGTACCAGGCACAGCAGCAGCAGCTCCACCACCACCACCAGAGCAGCCCACTCAAGGGTATCAGCATGTGCCCAGTGGAAGCAGAGAGCCCAGGAGGGGCAGCCAGAGTCTTTGCAGAGGAAGATAGTAGAATGGTTTTGGGGGGGGGGGGGTCTACAGCAGAGCTGTGTTATGAAGGGGGAGATCTGCTTTCTCACTGGCTCTTCTTACACCCCCTCAAAGTAGCAAATCAATTGTTCCCAGGATGAAGAACTGTGAGTCACTGATTTTGAACTCTCCCTGGAAAGCCCAACAACAAAAAAGGTTTTCTTGCCTCCCCCTTACCCCCCCACCAACCTTAGCTTTGCTCAGGTAGTTTCCTCCTTTTTGCCTTTGACTTGGGGGTAGTGGCATGGGAAGGGGGGTAAAAAAAAATGTTGAGGAAGGGCTCTTTGGGCCTTGAGATCAAGGTCTCTAGTTGTCAGAAAGTTTCCCAGGAGAAGATATTTTCAGTTCTTCTCAGATTCCTAGGCAGTGGAAAATCTCTTTTCTTTTGTATAAAAGGGTGGAGAAGATTATAAATCAAATTTGGAGTGGACTGAGCTGGGCTTAAGGCAAAACAGCTCAGTGAAAAATTGAGGACTGCATGTGCAGAGTGAGAAGATAGTTTTCCTCAGGTATCAGGAGATTGGTTTGCGGGGGGTGGTGTTCGGTGGGGAGGAGAGGAGGTTGGAAGAAGTTTTAATTCTCCTGGGCAGAAAACTGGGGCAATTAATCCCCAGAAGCACCAGAGTTGCTTTTAAGAGAGCAGTTGGGGGGGGGGGTTGCAGGTGAAATTGGGCAAGGGGCTTGTGCTTTGCCTCTGCAGCCAAAAAAGCTGCAGGGAAGAGGGAAAAGCCAATTAGGAGAATAGAAATGGGAAAAATAATGGACTGAGGAAGGGGAAAGAAGGCGGGGTGGAGATCCTTTAACCCTCGCAAGAGCAGCTTCCTTCCTGAGCATTAAGATCCTGGCTAGAGGAAGGGTGTGTGTAGGGGGGACAGGAGGCCGTGGAGCAGAAAGAAGGGGTAGAGAAAAGGGGCGTGTGGGAAGAGACAGGAGGAAGGAGTAGTTACATGATCTCAGCCCCCAGCCCACCCCTGCGGCAGTCCGTAAATCCGTGGCCCCTTCCCTTTGGCTCCATCAAAAGTCCCTTTGGGCGAGGGGCAAAGGCCAGGAGAAGGGCAGATCCGGGCGGGTGAGTGGCCTTGCCTTCTCTTCCTCTTCCTCTTCTGGGCCGTTGTCGCCCTCCTCCTCTTGCTCCGAGTCTGCCCGCGGCCGCCGATGCTCCTGTGGTGGCGGCAGTGAATGCTGGTCTGCGTCCCGGTGTCTCCGGGGCCGGGGCTGCTCCGGCTCGTCCTCTGGCTGCTGCTCGCCGTCCGGCGCGGCCGCGACTCCCGGCTTCATGATCCTCCTCCTCCTCCTCCTTCCCTGGGGGCCGGCTCTGAGCCCCCGCGCCCGGGCAGTGCTGCCATGCAACCAGAGGCGAGGCAGGCGTAGGGGTGGGGGCGGCTGGGGAGTGAGGAGGGGAGGGCAATAAAAAATGAAATAAAACTAGTGGAAGAATAATAATCGGTTCTCAAATAATCAGGAATGGGTGCTTCTGGAGGGGTGGGGGTGGAGGAGGGCGGCTGCCGGGTCTTCACGGCAGTTCTGCCCTCACTACCCCCACCAAGGGCGGCCTCGGCCGGCTCTCTGCCACCCCCCCCACGCCCCTCCCTCCTCTCGGCTGCCTCCGGCTGGTTGGGCTCACTGTTGCTACCTCCTCACAAATGCAACGAGGTAAGGCTTGTTTGCGGTGCCAGTTGCAGGTGGGGAGGGGGAAACGAAGCAGTGTGGCCGAGGTGGGAGACAGCCAGCACTTGGCTGGGGCTTGGTCCTCGCGACTCCTCAAAGCCGTATATAAATATATCTCTTATAAAAGGCGAGAGGAAGCAAATCAGATTCCAGGCTGCTGCCAGGTGTTGTCTCGTCTTCCGCCGTTGCTCAGCACCCGCCGCCGCGACTGCTGCCCCCCTGGCTCAGTTCCCAAAGGGGTGGTGCTGTAAGGAAGGTGGCGGGGCGGTGAGCTGACCGTCCGAGAAATGGAAACAAGGTTCTTGCCGCGGAGAAGGCTCTCAGCTATCTCCGCCTCTGCCGCTGCCGCGGCCGCCGCTGCTGCATTCAGCACCCCAGGCGAGTGGACAGCTCCCACCCAGACCCCGCGCGTCACGCAAGTAGGGGCCTGACGCAGACGCCGCGGAGGGATGGAGGAGGGAAAGGGGCCAAGAGGAAAAGAGGCTAGGGAGAGAAAGAGAGAGAGAGGAGAAGAGGAGAACTGTTAGAGGGAAGGAGATGGGGAGGGACCAAGGGAAAGGAAAGGAAGGAGGCTAGGGAGGGATTTAGGAAGGAAGGGAGGAGGGAACAAGAAAGGGAGAAAGGCAAGTGGGGTGGAAAGGAGCAATTCAGGGTACATTTTCCCCCAGCTGGAATGTATCAGTGTGGATAGTAAGGTTGTAGGGTTTCCTCCCAATGTACACTATGACCAGCCCTCTGAACGCGCATACACAGAGCCTTCTACATCTCAACCAGAGTCCATTTCCAAGCTCATAAACATTGTAAGCAGATAGAAATCTGCAGGCTTTGGGGAAAAAAAAATAAGTTTTGTGACTCTCTAACGAACTCCGGGACTCGGTGGAGACTAAGTCCCTCATGACTAAAAACTCAAGAGAAGAAAATGCTTCAGAGAGGGAGGGGGATGCCAGCACCATTTTTGCCAGTTTCTTCTAGAAATTCAGTTCCAAAGGACATGATTTGTTTGTTGCTGTTGTTTGGGTCCATTTTAATCCTCTGTGCCTAGGTCAGTAATGACATGTAGTATGTGCTCAATGTATATTTGTTGAATGGAATATGACCACCATCGCCATCATCAAAGTCATCATTACTCCAAGGTATAGACCTCTCCCAACTGTGAATCATGAGAACCCAGAGCGATATTAACCCTCCTCCTAACCACTATCTCCAGCTTCCCTCCATCCAAGCATTTAACTGAGCACTGACAAGAGGTCATTTGAAATGGATTTTAATTTCCTCTTTTATTTCTGTTTCTGACTCATGTCACCCTATCTCATCCTTGTCAAGGAGTTTCTAGTAAATAGTAAGGGGTCCCCAAATGTGAAGAGCAAGAAAAAGAAAACTTAAAGTGGACTATACAAATAACTCAGTACTTACAGCTGTAGACTTGGGTCATTTAAAACTTAGGTTTGCTTTCTTGCCTTTCTTCATAACCCCTTTCCACCTCAATACACACAGACCACAAGAGTCATAGACATGGACAAGCTATCCCAATGAGTCATCTACAAAACTGTGGTTAATGCCTTTGGAAATATTGGAGCCACAGACAGAGAAGCATGTAAAATCTCCACACCAAAATATCACTGGCGTGAAGATGAGCCCTATGAATCATAAGAAAACTACCCCTTTGCTGCCATCTCCTTGAATGATTTATTCCTACAAGCTCTAAGGAGCAAGGACCTAAGTCTGGGTCTTGATTAAGCTGGGGTGCCTGCTTGTATGCATCATTCCTCAACACCCACCATGGATGCTGACCCCTGGTCCAAGGTGAGTGGTTGGAAGAGAATACTACAAAAATAACTACAAAAACAACTACAAAATAATATGTATATTACGAATATCAGCACACCCACTCTGCCACAAAAGAGAATTTCTTTGTTATAAAAATCCATCTGCTCTCAAGGAAAATTCTCTGTGCACCACATTACCCTGTGCTTGATTCTGACATTGCACAAATAATGATCTCATCATGTATTCATCTCCCTCTTTAAGACATAGAGCTCTTTGAAGGCAGGGACCAGTATTTATGTTTGCAACTTCAGCATATAAACATAGTGCCTAAACCCTACTGGGTGATCAAGAAAATGAATGCTAAATGAAAGAAGGGCCTTTTTGTTTCAGTGAAGCGACCCTATTTCTCCCCTTCAACCAAAATAGATTCATGTGAGTGCTCTCAGACATGACTGAATATCTACTTTACCTAAAATTGAACTTCAGGGTCTTGTAAAATGCTAATCCTCATAAAATACTAGTTTCAAGTATGTCGTGCAAGTAAATTGGGGTAGAATACAGAAGAGCCATACAAAACCTGTATTCAGAGTTAAAGAAAGGGGTGATATCCATAAGACTGTCTTTCCCAACCTTTCCACTGAAAGGAAGAAGATTCCTAGAAACAGGAGGCTGCTATGCACAGGGAGCAACAACAGGGCTGTCTTCAGAAAGACTGGAAGGCTTGAGGGCTCTATTTTGAATATAATGTAAATCCTGAAAAGCACCTCAGTGAGTGTCTCCTAATGCTGTTGATAAAACAAAAGTTGTGAGCCCCAAGAGTAAAAGCCACAGTAATGGAAATGTAAAAATCAATGGGTCTCCATTCAAGTATTCAAAAAATACTTACTGAACGCCAACACCAATGGTAGGCAAGGAATTGTGTTGGAAGATGGCAACACAAGAATGGATTGGTTGGAATCTCATCCTCAAAAGTCTAGTAGTATAAATATGTACATAATCATAATATAAAGTACAAAATAATAAATGCTACAAAGGTGTAAGAAGTTTGGGGAGTGTTTAAAATAAGGAGGTAACTATGTTTATGTCTTAGCGAAGGTGGAGAGAAGTGAAGATGCCACATCTCCAAGAAAGCCCTTTTCAAAAAGTGACATTTGAACTGAATTAAGATGTAAGTTAAGGTATAAGAGGAGGGGATGCTGAGTACTTTAGTTCTTCCATTTGACTGGAGCATAGGTGCTTGAAATTAAGCAGCTAGAAGATAAGTCTGAAAGGTAGGCTGGAGCCAGATCATAGAAGGCCCTGAATGCCAATCTGGGAGAAGATTTACTCATTGACCAGTTATTTGTTTTAATGGTTTTAAAGATTTGAAGCTGAAGGTGAGGGTGGTAATACACTTTATCACTGAGCAGGTTAATTAACTGGATGTGATTTCATTGCTAACAGGTGAGAAGCAATCAATATTTTTCATTTCATGCCAGAAAGTTC